CTCTTGTCCTCAAGAAATAATCTAGTTGGAATAATGAGACAAATACTTGAAAGGGCAAATAGCAATAAAGATGTCCTTATCTACAGGAGGGTTCCCCAGCGCCGGCACTGCTGCTGTATTGGGCCGGATGATTTGTTGCCTTGTTGCCGTGAGAGCCTGTCCGATGTGCCGTAGGGTGTTCGGCAGCAGTCCTGTCCTTCACCCGCTAGTTACCAGTGGTTCCCGCCCCCGCTCAGTTGTGGAAACCAAAAATGTCTCCAGACATTGGCCTGTTTGAGAACCCTGCTCTCGAGCAATTGCAAAGTTTACTTTAACAACCACTGCGACGATAAAGTATCACCATCAGGACGCGTCCCAGCCTGTTCTCAGAGGCCGGTCTGCAGTGCCCCTCTGGCAGCTGTGCAGGGCCTTTCCACACGCAGGCCTGACTTCCTTATTGTGCTGTCCTCCCCGCATTTCCCTTTCAAGCTGACTTATCTCTTTTCACCCCAATGCAGAACATATTTCAACAGGATGCCTTAAAAACCCTTTTTGGAATGAGACAGGGTAGGAAAGAAAAATAATGCAATCACAGGACAAGAGAGAAAACACCGCAATGCAAGGCGATTAACTGACAAAGTATCCCATTATTGAAAATATGCCAAACACCTTTGATAACACTGCTATCACTGTCAGCCAGAAGTCAAAGGGGGATGCGGGTTCTTTCAGTCCTGGTCCCTCTGGTTAGAATGGGCTTCACTGACGAGCTGAGCATAAACACTGTCTGCCCAGGGGTGAGAATTCCAGAAAAGCTTCTAGGAAGAAAGGGTAAGCGATGGGAAGAACCCATCTCAATGAAATTTCCTAAATACACACTACATTTTTTCGACAGCCAAAGACCCAATTGCTTTCACTTTGTGATCAATATACAGTCATAACCTAGCTAAGAAATGAGCCTTATTTTAGCTAAGCCTAAAATAAAATTAAATATATAAGGAATACTATGTCTAAGAACACAGAGTAAAATAGGTATGCATGAATAATGCCTGGCACCTAACTTCTATGTAAGTTATAAATATTATTAGCTCTTGTTATATATCTTAAGGCACTCTTTCATATGTGGGTACAGGGTAAAATGATAGGGTTGTCTTTATATTTATTCAGCTTCACCAAGGTCTAGAAGTACAATTAGAATCCTAAGAAACTATGACATCTTGAACCCAGTTTGACTCCACATTGAAAGCTCACTTCACTCTGATATGACAACTTTAAGATTTACTAACTTACTGATCTCCATAGAGCAGAGAGTCTCAAATGGGGGTGATTCTGGCCACCAGGAAACATTGGCAATGTCTGGAGACATTTTTGGTTGTCACAACTGGGTGTGTATGGAGGGATGGGTGCTACTGACACCTGATGGGTGGAGGCCAGGCATGCTAACATCTTCCCATACAGAAGGCAGTCCCCAGAACAATTATGTGGCCCAAAATGTCAACAGTGCTGAGGCAGAGAAACCTTATCTTAGAGGAAAGGTCTTACTACTATTATCAGCCAGGAAAATGAAGACTAAAAGTATGCCTACACCCCATGTACTTCACGCTTTCCCTTAAGCATGCCTTATTCTAGCTGCCCTTTCTACCCTGTCTGTATGAATCCTGTCACCACAAGGCAATTGCTGGGCTCTCTGCTCCTTCCCTCTTTGGACTCTCAGACACCAGAACAGGTATGTTTAAGCCACATAACAAGTCAGGAGACATAAATGCAGAGATAGGAAGCCAGGAAGTAATATGAGGCACTCTCCAAAGTACCATGGTCTTTTTGGTCTGTTAATCCAAAGTAAGCAGCCACCACTCTGGCTTCTGGCTAAGCAGCTCCCGTCTCCAGCAACTCTCACTGTTCACTAGTTTTTAAAGGACTGCTCAGTACGACCGGTCAGTGATCCAAGCCATCACCGTGTTCTTCATGACAGCGGTAATTTACCCTGACAGTCGTTCTGAACACTTGATGAGACAAAGGTTGATTTCAGGAGATTTTAAAAGAAAGGAAGTTAACAAACAACAAGTTTAGAAGTGAAACCTCATCTAGCCAGAGTCTCAATTTATTTTTATTATGTCTTGCATTTTACAGTCTGGAGTGCACTTCTGTGTCTATCTTTCCAACCAAACATCATGATTATATTGTGAAGAAGGCAGAGCAGGCATCAAGTTTCATCCTAGGACCATGGAGAGGCCACAGCAACAAGAGGTCTGGCCTCCTGCTCAGCCCACTCTGCCAGGCTGGGATGTTTGGCTGCTGGCCTGATTGTAGACTCTCACTTGTTTGTGCCTAGATAATCAATTAAGCATCCTGACCTATGCTTACACTCCTTTGTGTCCTACAAAGGAGTTTATCACAAAGTTAGAAATTATATGGCAGGAGGTCAAAGAGAGACTGGAGAAGGGTTGACTGACTATACACACAAACTTATCTAGGAAAACATTTTTATTTTAAAATAAAAATTCTTCAGATGTTCACTTACACAACTAGTTCATAATGAAATCTTTCTGTTCCTGATTCACTAGCACCATGATTTATAATTACTGGACAACTGCCCAGTTCTCCAGGGAAAGATGTGCACATTACACATCAGGAAATGCTCTTGCAAATCAACACAGGAGAAGTGAAATAAAGTTCACAGCTTTTGCTTTCATGCACAGTAAACCTAGCTGTGTCTTCATAAATTACAGAAACCTCAGCTTTCTTACCTGTTTTAGTCAACACTCATCATACGCCCTCAGTGTGACAGGGAATACAGAGGGAAATGAGGCAGTCCCCACCTGGGGGGCATATGGAAAGTACCCCCACAGGGACAGAGCTTGCCTAGTGGAGTAACTAAGGAGCAATGGTAACAAAAGGAAAACGTGATCTTGCCTGGGCCCTGAAAAGTGAGAAAGATATCACACAAGGAGATGGAAAGGGAGAGCACTTCAGAGTGACATATGTTCTGTTCAGTTGCAGTAGAGAGCAACCTTGAATCAGGTTCAAAATTGGAAGGCTACATGTACAAAAAAGGCAAAAGCATCTACTCTTACTTGCTCTAAAAGAAAACTGGAGCTCCTTCTGGTCGCACTGCAAAGTAGAAATGAGGAACAAGGCAGAATCAGGGTGACCTTTTGATTATCAGTAGTCAGAGAGAGGCTGGAACAGGGCTACAGGCCTGGCGCTTCAGGAGCGCTCCCTAGGCTTCAATGCTGTCAGCAAGGGGATAAGGGCTCTCTCCCCTCATCTCCCTGTAGGTGGGAGGGTAAAAACCAACTTCTGCAGTTGCCAACAAGGTAGCACTGCTGGTTACCAAAGGCTTCTCTGTACCATACAGTCTGTTCTCAACCAGAGAACTGGAAGGGTCTATTCCGCCAGGGTGTGCTTTGGAACCACTGCCGCAGAACTAAGGGAGCCTCTCTCCCACAACACACTTGTATCCTATGGGCCCCAACCCAAGTCACCCTGATGCCTCACAGAACAGAAAGAATAAACGTGGTTCCACCGGCTGGGGAACCTCGGCCCTGAGCCGGAGTCTCCCAACTGCGGCGCACTGTCACCAGCTCCAAGCCTCAGCTGGAGCAGTAACAGTCTCTCCAGCATGGCAGAGACTTGAAGATTTCCGGTCTTCACCGTGCCAATGAAAGTCTTACAAGGGGAGCTGCGCCCAGGTTTCACACATCGGGCCATCTGAACACATCCTGGCTGATACAGACGAGTAGCAGGAACTGGCTGGCGCCCAAGGGCCGCTCCCCTGAGCCAGGCCGCGGCGCCTCCACGGACCACGGGTGGGCGGCCGAGGGTTCAGCGAAAGTGCTGGGGGCACAGGCGGCCTTCGCCGCAGCCAGGCGAAGCACGTGCCGGAGCTCGCTGGTCTCCACGCTCCGAGGACAAAGTCCGTTACCTCCCGCCCCGCGGCTCTGGCACCGGGCACCAGGCGTCGGAGCGAGGCGGGCAGGGCCTGAGCGCGCGCGACTCCGACCCGACTCCCGACCCCGATCTGAAGCCAGGCTTGGCCTCCCGCGACCCCTGAGTTCACTTACCATTGTGGTTGACCCAGGTCGGCTTCAGGAGCTTCATTGTTCGGCCGCCGCCGCCGGGCTGAGGCAAGAGCCGCGTCCTTCAACGCGCGCGGGCCATGGAGCCAACGCCGCCGCTTCCTCCCGCGCCGCCCGTCTTCCAGCCGCCGCCCGCACCGCGCCCTCAGTGTCGCCACGCCATCGCCGGCTCGCGCCCCAGGCCGCCGCCACAGCCGCCCCCCGCGCTCGGCCACCACCGCCGCCGCCACAGCCGCATCCCCTGCGCCGCTCCTCCTCCGGCAGCTCCCGGGCAACGCCGGAAGTCACGGCTTGCACCTGCCAAATCACCCCGGCGGGAAACCGCTCCTCGCGCGGACGGGGCCGCCTAGGCTGCTCTGCGGGCAAGGGGAGCGCAGGGCGGCTCCCCTTCAAGTCCTGCCCGGATGCAGCAGCAGTCGAGGGGAGGGAGGAGGGCCGGCTGGGATCGTGGTGGGCGAGCGGGGCCTCGGGTTTCAGCCCAGGTCGGCGGAGCCAGACAGGGTCGGAGCGGCGTGGACCGCCTCTCTCTAGTTCTACCACGCTGGTTACGAGTCCGACTAATTAACTAGCTTCCGTCATTCATCAACACGCGTTTATTGGGCATCTCGCGAGCGCCAATGCCACGTGCAGCCACCGGCGTGCGGTCGCAGTCCCGGGCTTGCAAGGATGCAAGGGGATGAGCGAGCCCTGGGGTGGGTCTGGGGGAAGGCCGAGGCGGTGCGTTTATTGGAAGATCAGGACCATTTTCACAGACGTGGAAACTTAGATGTGGGGTAGAGGGATAGCCCCACGGCCACTTCGGCGGCACTGCAGGGTCTTGGCTATCGCAAGGGTGCAGCCCGACTAGGTAGGGGTGCGGCGTTCGGACTCGCAGCGCCGGGCGGACGTAGAAGAGAGGACACACACCGGCGCCGGCGGCGAGGCGCTCGGGGCAGGGCCAGGCTTGATCCAGCCCTCCGTTCGGGGCGTGCCCGCGCGCCGCCGTTACGTCCGGGCCCGCCAAGCGCGATCCAACCCGCGCGGATCGCGCCCCAGGGCGGAACGAGGGAGTGTGGATCCACGGCACGGTCGGACCAGAGAGCGAAACACAGCGGGACGGACCGCAGAGGTGCGCGCCGTGAAGCAGTCGGTGGCTGCCTTAGGAGCCATGGCCGCCGCAGTGCTGGGAGCTATCGTGCGCACCCTGTGTTCGCCGTGCTGGTGAGTGCGGACCTCAGACCCTATGCGGGGTGCCCAGGGCGCACGCTGGGGACTCCGCGCCAGCTAGCACAAGCCTCGCCTGCGCTTCCTCCCCGACTGCCTTGTCCACAAATATCTAAGAAGGTGGCTGATCCCGCCTCTTCCTGTGGCTGAGAATTCGAGGACACTGGCGAGCCCTTGCGACTGCTTTCTGATGTGAACCGGAGATTTTGAAAAATCTCCCACACTGACCTTGCTGTCATATCTAGCAGTTACATGTGCCTTAGGTTTTGCAGGCACTGTTAAAAAAAAAAGGGGTGGGTTGACTTGTTTAGTGGGGGAGATTCATGTTTATACATACTCTTTTATCTTTTTCAGGCGACCGGGAACTTGGCAGACACAGATTAGAGACACCCACCATCGAGCTTCATTGTTGTCTTTCTGGGAACTCATTCCTATGAGGTAAACTTAACTGGGGGGGTCTGACCTCTTTGGGGGTGTCAGCAAGAGATAGATGTGCACCTGAATAAAACAAAACAAGACTACTATTTGGTTTACAAAATTAATAGCCTACAAAATTTCTCAGTTAAATTTAGCTAGATGTTTTAATGTCTTTTCTACATCCTCTGTATGGAATATTGCTGTGTCTGTAATCAGAAAACAAAAATTAAATGTAAAAGTAGTTTAAATAAAATGTAGTTAGCTTTGAATGGATTCTTGTTTTTTTAAAGGGCAAAGCATACACTTTCTCTCCATGGGCCTTCCATTTCTGACTCCCTGGAGAAGTGGGGGGAAGTGTGAGGACTAGTTTTTCCACCTGGAACTCTGGATGCTTTCTAGGACTTGATTCAAGAAATCTGGTCTTGATGCTGAAGGATTTGATTATTCCTAACAGTAAATTACCACCATAGGAGATGTGCTCCTGAGAGTAAATCAGACTTTTGTTAATACTCTAGGAGGGGAACATTTGTTAAGAAACCCCCCAAAGTAGGGACATGCTAGTCGCTTTTAGGTTGTTTTAGCCTTACTGACCTCATTCTTATAAATCACAAATCCATTTAAGGTGTGAGTAATTAGTTCCTAATTCATCAGTTTGGTATTTTCACGTTTCGATGCAATCCCAAGGCACACCTGAACTCCAGCACTAAAGATAAGCACTTCTTTTTAATTTATACCCTGATACCCCCTGATGTTTTTCTACCCCTTCCTGGGTTGACAGTGCCCACACAGTCCTCACAAGAACCCTGGGGTAGAGGCCATCTCCCTGCCACACTCATTCTATGAGGTCTGGATCATGTGCACACAGTCCATTCCCCAGTGCAGAGCTCAGTACAAGCTTGGGGTACTTTACCTAGGGCCATGTCTCTCAGCATGTTCGTGAGACTAAAGAGGAAAATTTTTAATGTTTGCTTTATCCCTTAGAGCAGAACCTCTGCGGAAGAAGAAGAAGGTAGATCCTAAAAAAGACCAAGCTGTAAAAGACCGTTTGAAAAAGAGGATCCGACGACTAGAAAAGGCTAGCCAAGAGCTAATTCCCATTGAAGATTTTATTACGCCTGTGAAGTTCCTGGATGAAGTGAGGTAAGGGTCTTCTAGGGTTGAGGTCCTCAGAGCAAAGGGGTTCATCACCTACAAGTAGTTCTACCTGCAGTTCATGCCAGTGGTAGGACGGGGTCAGTCGGCTTGGGCTGACTCCTTTTCCCCTTATTTCTCACAGGAGTTGGAAACATTCCTGGGTAGTGCTCTTGAATGGCTGAATATGGGAAAGAAACTCAGAATAATTGTTTGATAAGCCAGGCCAGATATTTGAGTGAAGTTTGTATTTGCATTACTCAAAAGTTCATAATTGCTCTTTTGCAAGAGAGGTTGTAGTTGTGACTGGTGACTTGGGTGTGCAGGCCTTGCCCATCCTGATCGTAGAAAACCCCTACCCTCTTGCTTTGTGATGCAGATGCTCACAGCTGGGATGTGTTGTGTATAGGATTACTGTCTTATAAAAGTGTGTGCTATCTATAAAGTAGCTGCACCTTGCCATACAAGTGGGACACAGGTGTCTTTTGGTACTCCAGGGCTAATAGGCTCTTGACCCCTTGGGATTTTGGTGTCTGTTTTCATTATACCATTTCACTTTTCTCCAAAGTCATCTCTCATCAAAGGTAGTGTCTACCTGGGAAAGAGGAAGTGCTATCAGTCTCCTCAGAGCATCACTCTTATCTGCAAGTAAAGCAAATGTCACTGGTTTGTAGCATCAGTTGGAGCTGCCACCACATATAACATTCCATTCCTTAATTTGTCCCAAACTTTCACTTTCTTTCCTAAGTTCCATCTGTGTCTGGCAGGGAGGATGCATGGGCAATAAGCAGTTACCCAAACTCCCTGGTCAGTGATCCCCAGCTCACACCTTTGGATTTATGTGTTCCCAGACAGCGGCCTCAGGTCGAGCTCTCCTTTGAGGAGGATGAGCGGAGAGCTTTGCTTCTGAAGAAGTGGTCCTTGTACAAGCAGCGAGAGCATGAGATGGAGAGGGAAGCCATCAACTCCATGCTTGAGGCCCAGCAGGAAGCTCTGCAGGAGCTGAAACTCACGTCCCAGGAGCTCCATATGGAGGCCATCAAGCGGGACCCCAGTCTGTTCCCCTTTGAGAGAGAAGGGCCAACGTATACACCACCAATCTCCAACTACCAGCCCCCTGAAGGCAGGTACCACGACATCACCAAGGTGTACACACAAGTGGAATTCAAGAGGTAGAGCTGCAGGCAGCCGTCTGAACAATCTGCCTGCCCTTCAGAGCCAGAATGACAAGGGTTCAAGTCTGCTTGTCACAGTATTAGACATGCTGAGAATAAATGTAAATGTAATCAAGTGTCTCTTTGTCTTATGTTAGAGTCAAAATTAATTCACCCAAGGATGGACAGAGGCAAGAGGTACTGCCCTTCCTTGCCAGGCACCAGGGAGAGGATGCCCAAGCCTTGATCATTGCCCCCCAGTAAAAAGGAAGATTCCAATTCTGTGGCAGGAGGCATAAAATGATCCCAAGAAACAGGGGAAGGATGTGTAGGCTCTGTGCTGTCTGCACATGGGGGCAGACAGAACACACGAACTTCCTCACATCATTGTCAGCAGGGCCAGCTTAGCATTTTAAGCTGGGGAGGGAGGCTGGAGAGCGGAGCAAGCCAGGGACACACTACTGAACAAAGCTGCTGTGTTCCACCGGAAGGTGGGGCTCCAGGGGCTGAGGACTCTTAATCGAGTACCGTTAGTTCTGGGATGGTGACTGTCATTAGCATGCTGGGGTTGCCAGAACAAAATGGCAGACTGCAGGGCTAAAAAAGGCATTTCTCACAGTTCTGGAAGCTAGAACTCCCAAGGCTGAAGGAGTAGCAGGGTTGGTTGGTCTGAAGGCCTCTCTGGCGTCTTGATGGCCACCTTTTTGCTGTGTCCGCACATGGTCATCCCTCTCCAGCCATGGTGGATTATGGCCTAACTAACCTTCATGACCTCGCCTTAACAATGAGTACAATCAGATGCGAAATTTAACAATCTCAACAACTGAACTGTTCATTTAATTTTCAGTTTCTCTTTGAAACCCAATGTGTAAAATGGCTTTTGACATACTCCACATTTTCTAAAAACGATCAGGGGAAATAGTAAGGGAAGCAGACCAAAATTCCACATGTCCTGGGTTTGGGTTTCTTCAGCCAAGAGTCCGTGAACCCTTTTTATGCAAGGTGGTGTGTTCCATAGCTGTGTACAGTTCTTAAAAAACAGAATCTCACCTCCTGTGAGCCTAGGAGGTGCGGCATGCTAGTCCAGAGGCACGCCTCGCCTGTGTCTGCAGAGGACCTGCGCAAGGGGGCCACAGCCAAGTGTGAGCACCAGTGGCCGGCCGTGCTTGGTCATCACCAAGCTAGGACCAGGTGAGGTGTTCATGGCAGCACAACCATTTAGTTACCTCATTCTGACCCCTCTACATGTCCACAGGGGTCACAGCTACCACTCAAGAGTTTATCTCAGAATCTAGACCTCAGGATGACCATCTCCTGTACTACTGTCCGCGTGGGAGGGAGGAGCATGAGACAGCCCAACCTGCCTGCTCACAGCAGTCTGCAATGGTGCTTGGCCTCCTGGAAGCTGTGCAGCGGGCAAAACTGTCTTCCAGAGCATGGCAGCAGTGGGGCACCCTGAATGCAGGTAAGGGTTGGGCAAGTAGCCCTGGAGACGTTGAGCTCCGTGTTCCAAGCCAGGCAGAAGCTCCCAGGCACCTACTAGAATGGGCCAGTCAGAGTCCTTGGGGTCGTGCAACAGCTCCACTTGAAACAGACCAGAGGAAGCTGTGCAGGGGTGCTTGTCACTTGTCTGTCTCCTCCTGCGGCAGAGGGAGGTGCCAGTCTGCAGGGGGGTTCTGCCTCGGGGTCCACACCAGGATGTGCTTTCGTGCGGCCTGGACTCTCCTACGCTCGCTCTCACAGAGGGACCGCTGTGCAAGGGAGACCCGGTCACTTCACACCTCACGTGCCCTTGTACCTCCCTCCTCCGCAGCAACCGCCCAAACACAGATGGACAAACAGAATACATGATACACACCACTCTGAAACTCTGCTTCCATCTAATGCCCCTTGGCACTTGTTCCGTATTAGCACACACATATCTAGACCATACGTTCTGTGCTACTCTGAAAAACTACAATTGACCCTTGAACAACATGGGGTTAGGGGTACCAACCCACCACACAGTTGAAAATCTGTGTGTAACTTCAGTCAACTGTCTTTACACATGGAATCCCAATTGTGGGTGGAAAATATAGTTGACCTCTGAACAACACAGGTTTGAACAGTGAGGATCCATTTAAAAAATGCACAGAAGTGGACCCATGCAGTTTAAACCTATGTTGTTCAAGGGTCAACTGTACTGTGTAGATCACCATAATTGGAGGAAATTGTACAAATATCTTCTCCTGGGCCTCAGGGCTGAGGCTTTTGGGTGACCTAATGAGATTCACCTGCTAAGGCTAGCTGGGGCTGAGCTGGAAGAAGAGACAAGAGTCTGCAAGAGTGGCTGGAGGAAGGAAGATCGGGCAAGAGACATGTCCAGGGAGCCCTGGATGGGCGAGGAAGACTCCAGACCACCGATGGTACTCTCCCCAAAATAAACACAGGACAGTACATCACAGCTGTGACAAGGTCCCTTGGTTAGTTGCCAGGGCCTATGCTGGCCTCTTTACACCTGGTAATTTCAGTTTTCTTCTTAAGCTCTAGTGTCTCAAATAGATGTTTTTGTTCTTGTTTAAAAAGTGATCAGAAACACAAAGTAGAATATGAAACACTCCCAGACCTTCATCCCTGAGGTGATGTTAACAGCTTCCCCACCACACTTTTAGGCCTAAATTTCAGAACCATTATATGTTTCCCTAAAGATGGAATAATCTTCTATTGGCTGCTTTTGGTATACTTTCTGCTTTTTTCACTGAGCCATCTTTCTATGCTACGATATTTCAGTAGCTATTGTTTTTCACCAGAATATGTTACCATCTATTCTTTAACGGCTATTGTAATACTCCATTGTGTGGAAGGTGTTATTTGGTCAAATGTCTGTTGGTGTCATTTAGGACACTTTAAGTTTTTGCACTATCACAGTGACAAAATGGACATTTTGAACTTTGTGCTGTTACCCAGTTACTTCCCTAGTATAAACTTCTAGAAGTAAAACTGGGGTCACAAGGTATGCATTTGACTTTAGACCATCAGATCACCTGACACCACCAATACTGCACAAGGACCCCTGACTCTCCGAAACCCTATGGACACCTGACATTCTGCTAGGTAAAAACCACCCATTGTAGTCTTAACTATTATACCAGGCCACTGGCTTTTCTTTCTGAATGAATTCCTTCTTTGTATCCTTTGCCTACTTTTCTATTCTAAAATCATCCCTATTTTTCTTACTGATACATGAGCTCATACATATATAAAGGTTACTAAATCTTTTGCCATACAGGCTACAAGTTATCTTTCCCATTTTTTGGACTGCCACTTACTATGGACTTGTCACATTTTCTACTATACATTAGCTTGGTTTCCACATCCGTTTGTCTGTTTCAATAATAACATACACTTAACAGCAATGAGGCAGCCACCAATCCTTCGGGCTCCCCTTCCCCAGGCACCCTCACAGCTTCTCTCCATCTCCCCACCCCCAACAGCCCCAAGGCACCATTGTATTCTAGACTGGAATGTAGGTGCTAGGAGGGCAAGTGCTCTGTTCTCATCATTTCTGTATCCCTAAGAGTGCCCAACATGATAAATATCTGCCGAATGCCTGGACAACTAAAACTGCTTCCTTACTAGTCTCTGTGTCCTCCATAACATATGCCGACCCCCCCCCCCCACTTCCTGCAGCCAGATTGACCTTTTAAAGGTATAAATCAAATCATGCTTCCCAGCACATGTTTAGGCTAGAATCTAAGGGTGTTCAACCTTTTGGCGTCTCTGGGCCACACTGGAAGAAGAAAAGTTGTCTTGGGCCACACATTAAATAGAGTGCAACACGTGATCACAAAAAACACTCTCATGATGTTTTAAGTAAACTTACGATTTTGTGTTGGGCCACATTCATAGCCCTCCTGAGCTGCATGAGGCCGGCGGGCCGCAGGTTGGACACCCCTGAAGGCCCACCAGGTGTCTGGTACTGCCTCAGCCTCGTGCCCTACCCTTCCCTCTACAGCCCACCCACCTTCTGCTCCAAGCACTTGGATCCTTGTTCCCAATTTGACCCCCTGAGGTTCGAAGAGGGCTGCTAAGGCTGCTTCTTGGTCTTTCAGGACTCAGCCATATCACCGCCTTTGCACGTAAGGTGGCAACCCTAACACTGCTATGGGGGACCCTCCCCTCTTTTCCTTCAGTGTCTGAAAACCCAGTTCATTGACTAATTTTTGCTCTTTCTCGAAAGTAAGAAAACACAAAAAGAGGGAGGCCCCTGGCAGTGCTCTTCTCCAGAGTCCCAGGACCTAGAACGTGGACAGGTGTGGCCTGTGCACTAGGGCGCCCCGACGATCCGCCCAGGCGCCTCAGCGCCACCCCCGGCTTCCCAGGCGCACCTGGGCCTCGGCGCTCCGGCGCTCCTCCCATTCGTGGCAGCTGTCCAGGTCGCGTCGCCATTGCTCGCAGGCCGGCCACTCGCCGTGGACGTAGTAGTGGTGCAGGAAGTGCCCAGCGCTGCGGCAGAGCTTCCACTCGGCGCGATAAGCTTCGCAGGGGCGCGGCGGCTGCAGTGAGAGTTATACCTAAGGCTGACAGCGCTGCACCGCTCACCCCAGAGCCCCAACCCGAACCCATACCAGGAGACCTCGGTTAAGCCGATCACACGGTCCGATAAGGCCCCTGCAGGTCCCAGGCGCCCACCACACTTACCCGCCAGCTGGCGCCCTCAGCCATGTCAAGGCGAATACCGAACCCTCGCTCTCCTCAGCCCTCTAGCCAATGAGGATTGATTAGGTCGGCACCACGTGAGAAACCAAGGAACTCAGATATGACGATTTAAATCCTCCCCACCTCTTTGAGACTACCAATAAACAGGACTTCCGAGTGCCGCCGCCAATCACAGCCCGGGAAGGTGGAGCACGCGAGGAGGGGCGGAGCCCAGGTGGACCAGGGGTGTGCCTCGAGGGTGAGAAAACGCAGCCAGGAGCCAGGGCGGTGGCTGTGCTGACAGAGGACATCCGTCCATCCGTGACAGCCGCATTAAGTCGGCTGTTTCTGAAACCACGCAGGCCAGTTCTTTTCAGCGGCCGTTATTTTCATAAATCTCAAAGATTGGATTTATTGTCGGAACAACATACTGTGCAGTAGCTGTCGTGAACTTGTCATGTCTACTGCTGTCGTGTCCACCCGAGGACAGAGATAAACTCACAAAATAACTGGGGTTGGCTGGGCATGACATGCGTTGACGGTCAGGTATCTAGAGTGCGGAATGACCTCCCGAGGGAACTCAGAATGGAAGTGGAGGCAAGAAGGGCTTTCTGAGCAGAGGAATGGAGGCTGTGAGCGGCATGAGGTACAAGTCCAGGGGCGTATGATTACCAGCGAAAGCTTTACTGAGACAGGAAGCCCTACAAGAGCAATGGTTCTCCACCTTCTGCAAACGTAATCACGTGCTCAGCCGTTGCTGGGCCTCCTCTGGGACTTAGACTGGGTCAGAAGCCCTGCAGGTGGCCCAGAAAGCTGCGATTTTATCAGGAGTCCTGCCATGTTGGCTCACAGACCAAGACTGGAAAAGACACTATTTGACAATAAGGCTGCGGGCCAGGATACAGCAGTAATGACCAGGACTTTTGCTCCAGGTGACCCCAGTGTGTCACCAGAAGACCCATCAACTGGGGTCCATCCCTGCCCCAGGCAGAAGAGTGTATCTCCAGCAAGAGAACAGGAGTGATTTCATTGCATATACAGTAGGTGATGCTTAGGTAACACAAAAGCCCAGGGCTAGCTTCTTCTTACCCATCAAATGACAATGTGTCAGACAATGTGATCCTTATAATACAGGCTGCCCATCCAGCAAGGGCTTCTATGTCTGATAATGAAACTGCAACCCCGTAAGTGAAGGGTCAGGTAGGTGACGGCAGTGTTCCACATTTATCACCAGTCATGTTATTTTGGGTCACAGGGCCCAGATGTGGTCATCATGACAATCTTCGATGCTTATTTACTGAGGTTACATGGGTGGGCCCTGGGGCCATTGTCCTGGAGTGATGCATCCTCTCCTCTTCTGGGTGTTGGGAGGAGCCCTGTCCAGAGAAGGACCCCTCTGCCTACAAGCAGGAGACTTGGTACAAGGGGGAGAACCTGCTGGGCTTGACCACCCCCACCCGGGGGTCAGAGAGCCTCATTTCTCCCTACATTGTCCAGGAGAAGCCCCCTGGAGAAGCTCTCTTCTAACAGCAGGATGGAATGGGGGACACCTGCAAGCAGGCCTTCCTCCAACTCCTGGTCAGTGCCCCAACCATCAATTCATGTTGGCACCTAATCAGACATTTAGAGGCACTCCAAGTTTAGTCATTCCCTGTTTTTATTTGAAATTCTTGATTTAGAATTATTTTCAAGGGACAAAAAAGAGTAATGTAATTGGATTAACACAGTCAGAAGATCTCACTTTATAGATAGTGAGGATCTGAGACCAATACAAAATAAAGACAGGCCAGCCGAACCTTGGATAACAGTACTTTAAACTGGGAGTGGGGTATAGGGAAGGAAAAAGAGGACTGTTATCTTTAGCTTTTATTTATTCTAATATTCATATTGTGCTTCACCATGAAGGTTCCCCTCCCCACCATAGAACCTATTCATTAAGAAGCCAGCTATTTCCAAATGAACTCTAAAAGCTGAAGTGCTTTCAGATCAGTTTTTCCTTCTGAAGAATGGTTCTGTTGGGGGAAAAATATGTAAAATAAATACTTAAACTGCAGCCCAAGTAACAGAATAACCACTATTTATGGAACACAAATCTATTTAAACAACTTTTCTCAAGGCCAACAGCAACGTCTAAACTACAGACTCACACAAAAAAAGATAAACAAAGAGAAAGAACACCGCAGGTTAGAGCAATTCAATCCCCTCCATTAGCTTTTATCAGGAACTGGGGACTCTATTTCTGTTGAGGCAGTGGGAGTGCTCCCAGGGGCTGAAAGCAAGAAGTGGCGAGGCGGCCACCTATGGGACCTCAGAGACAGCTTTCTCTTTCCCCAATTCAAGTACAAAAAGTCCTGCTGTTCCACTTCCAGGTTAAACTCGACAATTCTTAGGTGACTCTAAACAAAACTAGCATGAAAGTGTTCTCTGCGATAGTCTCATCCCTGGGAGAGCCAGTAACTAAAAGCCATTATGCTGCAATTGATTATTTTATTTTCCAATCAGCTAACAGTCCCAACTTATGGTTTTCTTCCCTTTTTACGCAATGACTGTCCTTCTCCAGAGAAAGCAACGAATCTGCCTCCAGCTTCATCCTGTGTGAAGATAAAGTACTACTTTCAGAAACTTTTTGGAGGTTTATAAAAAATGTTATACTCTGTTACTCATGTATTGTACCATTCACCCATTTTCCTTACTTCCACATTATTCATAAGAAATGTCTTTGAAATATAAATACAAATCAAGATCAATTAAATTGAAAACACAACCACACAATCACAACTATGTGTCTATTATAGCCTTTAGTCTCAGGTTGAATGTGTATCATTTTGAAGATGCACCAGACTTCTGATGTAAAAAATACACCCCCAAAAGAAAAAACACCTATAACTACAGCACCAAAAATATTTCTAGTCACTTTTTTGTATATGCTTATATAAATTATTTTCATACTTAATCCCCAAGTTTCAAGTCAATGAATTTCTTATCCAGTACATTCTAAAACCTACAGAGAATTCCATCACATGAGAGAGGCAGTCCTCTACCATCGGATGTTATTTCCAGGTTTGTAGTACTTTAAATTGCTGCGGTGAGTAGCTTAATGTATTTGCACATAGCTGTTATTTCCTAGAAGTTGAATTCCTCAGTAAGCTATTCTCCAACCAGTAAAAAGAGGGCTTATTTTTTCCTGAACCCTCAAAAACAGCAAATACCTTTTATATGTTTGTATTGCTAGTCAGTCATCCCTAGACTCATTACCCAGGAAGTAGACTCACCTCTTCAACTTTTTTGATCAGTGGACGTGAATTTCTGATGAAAGTGATCTTACCAAGTTTAAATTCATAATTGGGAATGCCTCTGTAAAGAAGACAGAGGATGAGAAATGTCAGTTCCAGGAGAAAAGGATTCAAATTCACTTCTGACAGTCAAGAGGAAGGCAAGCCAAAGAGCTGACAAGTGTCCTCCTGGTAGTGATTCTCTTTCTGGGGTATGTGGCTATACATGACCATGGCCTTGGGTCAGCGCCCTGGTGCTCTCCAGCAGGCCTCCAGGAGAGAACCAGCAGGCAACTGGGTCAGGGGCCCTCAGACTTGGGGCCTGGCCTGTAGTGAGGGGTCACCTGGAGGTTTGGAAGCTCTCATCAAATCTGCTCTCCAGCCTCATGGATCACCCTGGAACAGGTACACTTGCACTAAACTCATTTCATTCCTTCAGAGAGTAGGTAAAAAAAACAAAACATTTCTAGCATTCTCCTTCTGCTCTAACACAAAGTAGACAGGTGACATATTTCATCCCTGCCATCACCGTAACAGCCACCAGGCAGGGAATCTGCTGAGTCCCTGGATCAAAAAATAAAAACACATCTCACTGAGGCACTCCTGCCTCCTGCTTGAGGCAAGTTAAGGTACTTGATGAAGTCACAAAACAGAAAAATAGTTTCCTAGTCCCCCAAGGAGAGCAGGTAGGGGTGGAGGGGTGGCAGGGATTCATCTACTTGGCGAGTCTCTTTGATCCAGGCTTTGTCTCCAGAGCTGGAGTGCGCCTGCGCCCCCGCCCCAAGATCTGGCACAGACCTTCCCTAAATGGCGATAATGCATCAGGCTGGGGCAGAGACAGGGCAGGCCCACCTTTTTATGTCTCCAGGCTTGATTGGGGAAGGGCTGGGCTCTACACCTTTCTTCTTCCCATCCAGTCTATTCCCGGAGCCGGAGAAGGCCTAGAGAGGTAAGCAGGAGCGTGTGGGTGTGTAAGCCCTGAGAAAGTGAGCACATACATGCCCTCTGCCGAGACCACTGCAGGGGGATGCCACCCAGTCCCCCTCCGGAGAGGCCCTCGCTCCCCAGCTGCGAAAGTATGGGCAGCTGAGAACTCTGCCCAGCCCCTCAACTGCTGTGAGCGGAAGGGAGCCTCCTGGCCCAAGAGCAGCCACCCCTCAGAGGCAGCAAGTAGCCAAACACAGGCTGGAAGCTCTGGCCCTGGACTCTGCGAGGCCACCCAGTTTGGGGCCCTGTGGTGGACTAAGACCTTCATTGCCACTGCCCCACAGCTCAGCTTTCCAGTCCTGCCTCCTCCACTGCCTCCCAGTGCACCAGTACCTTCACACTGGCCATATCCACTTTTTCCCCAGGGAGACTGGCTGGCGGCAGCGCTCCAGGGTCATATTACAATTTACTTTCAAACAGTGCAGGCAAAAAGAGGACATGTTCTTAGAGATAAAGCAAACGTGGTCACATTGGTGAATCTAAGTGAAGGGTGTATGTGTTTCTGTTATACTATTTTAATTTTTTGGTAGAACGTTAAAAAGAAGAAAAAGTTGTGGCTGCCTTACAGATTTGTTAGAAGGATTCCATAAGAACGTGGATGTCAAGTGCCGTGTAACTGACGAAGTGGTAGACACGTGTGTGTACAGATACCCAGAGGCCCAGTCCCTGCTGAGGTCCACAGAGTGTTACTGAGTGGCTAGAACGGGCAGGTGGCACAGCAGTAGCACAGGAAGTAAAACACGTGGCCTGGTACTCACTCGGAAGCCCAGCTCTCCGGCATAGCCGCTATGGTCAGCT